TTATCATGCAGCATTGTTTTAGTGCTAAATACGACGGGCATATCAGTAATAACTATTGGATGACTTGAATTCTGTAAGCACAGGGGTTAGCTGGTACCACATGCATTGCCTGACACATCAAATCCTTGCTGTATGATTGATCTTATAGGGATAAATTAGGTAACCCTCTGCAGACCTGTCTACCTCTGCATGTCCCCTGTTTACTCAGAATATCTCTAATTGGCTGGGATCACTACCATTCTCCCATTCACTTGGTAACCTGCAAGAGTAGAGATGCCATTTACTCAACGGGGAGAGAGAAAGAGAGAGTTGCCGGGTGGTGGTGGGGTTGGGGGGGGAGGGTGGAGTAGCTGTGGTCCTAGTTTTACATAAGCAACTGAAGGGTAAATAAGTCCCTCTTGATCCACTGAGCATTTTGGGTCCCCAACCCCAGGGCAAGCCTGTAATATTCCTCAAGGAGAAAACAGTTTGACAGAGATTCAGTTTGAGAGCATACCATGAGTGAGCTGGAGAAACGGCAGTTCCCGTGTTTTGGGCGCTTGCTCTCCACCAGGTCCTTCTTGCCCATCCTCATTTGACTCTGCGGGAAGGAACACTCTGCTGATGTTTGAAGGGGACGAAATTCAGCTCAGAGACATAATACGAATGACCGGAGAGCACACAGCTAAGGTGGCAGCATGAGCTTCTAGGTCCAGGGCTACCTGAGAGCCAAGGACAGCTTCTTCTAAGCCCCACCACGGTCTGCAGGCCGGAGCAGGCATCCAGCCAAACCCGCATTTTATCAATGAGGGAATTCCACCCAGCGAAGGGGAACAGCTTGCTCAAGGCTACGCAGTAGTCCGTGTCACCAGGTTACCTGACACCCGTTCTAGGGCCATTGGTATGACTTGTTGATATCTCACGGGTCATTGGGCATCACTGAAATGCCAGGATAAAAGTTTCCTGTGAAGGTATTATTAGTTTCCGGGTCTCCAAGTGAGCGCCTTAAAAGACACACTATAGAACACGTGAGTCGCTCCTGGGCTCTCGTGCTCCCTTCAGGGAAGCCAGTCAACGTGAGGGGGTTACTTGTGGGGGGAGGCATGAGGGCCAGCTAGCTGCAGGTGTGCCTGTTCCAGGTGACCCCTCCAAGCAGCTGAGACGGAAGTACCCCTCCTGCGCCCCCCCATCTACCTGTCCTCCCTCCTGCCTGCCAGCTCAGAGAGTGGAAACGGTGCCAAGGAGGTTCCTGGGCCTCCTCTTGGGCTGGCTGTGGCCGGGCAGAAGCCCTCCTTGGCCGGCAGCCCTGGGCACCTGCCACCCTCGTGTGTTTGCTCAGTGGGTCGGGGCACGGAAGCAGGATGCTGTCTGTTGGACCTTGGGCGTTCCAGGCCTCGGGGGCCAGCTGCCGGCCTGGCAAGTTCTCAGAGGAGCTGTCTCTTGCCCTTTCTGTACCTCTTTTTCTCTCAGCTACCTGACAAGCAGTTGATAATCTTCTCATCTCTTAATGTAACCCAGACAAGGCAGGAGTGCCAGCTAGCGTGCACGGAACAAACACTGGCAAGGTGCCCAAGAGCTCTGCACCGGGAACCTTCAGTCCTCTGAAGGAGAGATGTGTCCCTCCAGCACACTTCAGGCCCCCTTCTCCAAATGCCCTGTCTTGCACCATCCCCAGACCATTTTGGCTCTGCCAGAAAGAATTTGCTGGAATTCTGGCGAGAACAGGCACCACACTGCCTGCCTTTGATTAGACATTAGGAGCTATTTAAATTCATCCAGAATCTCAATACAGCTCCATTCCTGTTAGAATCATGCAAGAGATTGGTTCCAATATCATTTCTTACACGAGGATTCTGCCTTGGTAAGACAGAGCATTGCAGTAATTAACGTGTTGAAAGCTTCGTGGTTTGTTTGCAAAGCATTTTTGTATACATCAGCTCCCTTAGAGTCTCCCAAACCCTGGGAATGGAGCATTCTTATTAGCCCCACTTTACAGGTGAGGCAGCTACGGCCGAGGGAGGATGAGTACCTTGCCCAGTCCCTTACAGGTAGAATAAGCATCAGAGCAGAGACAGGAGCCCAGGTCTTCCCTCTGAAACTCCAGCCTTCTTTCTGATTCACTCTTTTGTGGTCGTGGACATTTAAGAAGACATGGGTTTTCTATGCAAAGGACTTGTGCTCAAATAAGGTCAGAGTAGAGAGAAAGGAATTCATGTTTTACTGTGCAGTGTCTCATTTAATCTCTCCAGCAACCGTTAGCATCGGGTATTACTGTCCCCTATATTTACACTTGAGGAAGCTGAGGCTCACAGAGGTGAAACATCTTCCCCCAAGTCCACGTCAAGCAGGGGTAGAAGGTGGACCCAAGTGTCTCTGGCCTCCATGTCCATGGCCCCTACTGAGACCAGCCGTGCAGGGCAGGCTGCAGGGTGAGGAGGCTGGCTCCACTCCAGAGAGGGCAGGGCGGGGCGGCACCCAGAGCAGCTCACTCCACTGGTCCTGCTCCAGGGGCTGGAAAAGTTCAGACGTCAGCCTTCTCCTTGCAGCCTCCTACCTGCCCTCCATCTGGAACTGTGGTGCTGGCATGTACAAAGAAGGACCTTGTGGATCCTCTGCTCTGGTACTCTCAGGTAACCAAACAAAAAGCAGCTCCACAGGGGATGTGACTGGCCCTGTTCCATGGGAGGCATGACAGAGCCTGCAGTGGCATCTGACTCTCATGCCTGTGCTCGGGGGTTCATCTCTTGTCCTGTCAGCCCCTCCCTCTGCTGTCTTTGATTACTTTGAGCTCTCTACTGGGCCACCTGTTTGACCCTTGATTACAGCTGCTGTACACAGTCCCTCCAGTTCCACATATGTGTGACTCTCATCCTAGGAAGAACATAGAGATCTCAGAGTCAGGGGCCGGGTTGTCATCTTCTCTTCGGAGCTGACTTCAAGTTGAGGAATGAGCTGGGCTATGAGTCCGTTGGCACTGAGTTCTGACCCTGACCTTGTGGCTGCTTGTTGTCTCCAAAGTCAGGTGACTCCTCCCCCTGTTGTGTTCTCCTGCAATAATAACAGCAGCTCCTCTGGGTGGGCACCTAGAAGGTGCCAGGCGCTGTGCTGAGTACTTCATTGTTTGTGGTCTCTGTAGAGTGGAGTCTCTCAGGCCCATGGTGGTGATTCTCCTGGGAGCAGGCAGGATGCAGGTAGAAGACAATTTAGCTGGGGACAGGGACCCACGTCTTGGGCTCATCCCTGCCCACCAGCGTGCTGATGTGGTTAACTGTCCAGCTGACACTCACGGAGCACGTAGTGCTGCCGGCACTGAGGCATAGGGCTGAAGTCACAGGCTCCTGGTCCCAGGGTCAGTGACGGCACCAGGAGGGCAGCCCAGCATTTCATCTAAGTTTTGTGCTGTGTGACAAGGTCCTAGAGAGACCTTGGGTTCCCACCTCCCTGGGCCTGTGGGAGATGCCACCATCAAGCTGGCCGGGGCAGGGGCCCTGTTGTTCTGGCTCCCAGCAGGGTCCTCAGCACCACTGAGTATCTGGCTCATGGTCAGGGTTCAGCCAATATTGGATGAATGGAGAAACGGGAGAGTGACTTCCCTGAAATGCGCAGACACCTCACCGTGTCCCTTGCATTCCTCACCGGCACAAGGGTTTGCCCTCCTGGCTACCACCTGTGGAGGCATGGCCTTCCCATACCTCAGTTTCCTCGTAGGGGAGCTGCGCCTGTGGCCTCCTGCTGGTGTTCTGTCCCCTCCTGCAGGTGCAGGCTGCCTGGGGATGAACACACCTGCATCTCTCCCCAGCCCTCCCCCTGCTGTCTCCAGCTTCCCGCCCTGGCCCGCCACGGGCTCCCGCCAAACCAGCCCACACGGACTCCTTTTGTTCAGCCATCTCAGTTTCAGGCAGACTCGTCCAGCCTGGTCCTCCAGCCCGCTTCACATACCCCTTTGAAGCCTTGACAGGCAGCCAACCGAGCTGGCCCGAGCACACAGAGTGGGGTGCCGGTGCCAGCGCCCTGGCAGCCACTTCCCGCCTTGCTGGCTCCTGGGACCTGGCTGCTCCGGGGCCCATTCACACGGGGACAGCAATGCCCGGATGTTCGCCTCCGCTGGCATGGACACTCCATCCGGGGCTGCCGGCTGGGGCTGTTCCCACAGCTGAGATTCCTTTCTCAGGCTTCCCTCCCCCATAGTGAAGCCCTCTGGTTCCTCCCAGGCCGTGCAGCCACAGCCTCTGTCCCCACAGAGGACAACTGGCAACGGGAACAGTCTGGCTGGATTCTGAGCTCTCTAAAGAGAGGCAGTATGGGGCAGAGAGCAGGAGCACAGGTGTCGAGAGCCTCACTGCCATCTTTAGCTGGGGACATAGGTGCTCCATGACTCAGTTTCCTCTCTGTATGTGGGGAGAATAGAAGGCCCAGTTCACTGAATAGTGAGGGGTGACGAAGTCCTGCAGGTTAGCACATTGTAAGCATGCCAACAACAGCTGCTGCGAGGATGTTGTCATAATGTGGGGATCGTCACTTGTTCTTGAAGAGCATCTGAGTCTTACTGTCCTATGTGAGAAAGAGGGTCTTCTGTGCTTATATTTTAATTTTACAACTAATATATGCTTACTGCACGATTTAGGAAGTTCAGATAAGCAAAAGGAAAACTAAAGAGTATTTGTTTTCCTTCCAATATGTATAGCGAGATGTGCATCTAAGCACATACTCATACACATACACCTACACATACACTAGACTAGCTGGTTAATAACCCCTACATATGATAGTTCATATGTGTATAACATTAACAGTTCATATATATTATCTCCTATATACTAGTCATATTATATACATTTCATTTTATATACACATTTATATGTTATATCCATATTCTTGCATTTATGAATATTTGAAAAAAGTAAAGAATGGCTCCTCTGGTTTTTGTAGCCAGCTTTTACCATTTACCATAAAGTGAACTTTTTTCTGTTAGGAAATTTTTCTATAGGGAAATATTTCAAGGCCACATTGTATGTTTACAGATGAACAAGTTGAAGCACTGAGAAGCAAAATAAGTTCTCCAAGATTACCCAGCCGCTAGAGGCACAGCCAACGTCAAGAAACTTCTCCGTGGAAGTCTTCGCGGCGCCCTGAGGCAGATTCAGAAAGAATCTAAGTTCCTTCCATGAGAACAGGGACTGTCTGCCTCACTCGCCATTGTCGCCTCAGCACCTGCCGCAAGGTGGGCATTCTGTTACTAGTTGAGTGAGTGAATGCAGGAAGTTAAATCTCCTTCTTTTTTTGATGCCATTTCTTGCTCAAAGCTCATCATAGAATTTTATATGTCTTCCTACATGGCCCCTCACCAGCCTGTGTGCTTCTCAAGGCTGGGACCATCCAAGGCCTGCCCTAGAGCAGGTGTTCAGTAAATGAGTGCAGAATCGTGGAAGCAAGGATCTTTCCATTCTGGGTTTGAGGCAGTGCCCTCCCCACAAAGCTTTTCTGAACTTTTTCATCACATGCAGAAGTTAAGTTCCCCGAAACATCAAGTAGCCAGCAATCTGCTTGCCATCATTGGTCCAGGAGCAACTTGGACATCAGCCCTTGCCTGTCACACCTGGTGTTGGCACACGTGGCCTGTTCCGGGACAGGTCTCATGGCTGAGGGTTAAGTAACACCTGGAGTGGTTATGCGGCTGGGCACCTCCTTCTTGTGAATCCCCTGGGCTGCAAGGCTGGTGGCGGGTGGCTGGCAGGGAGGAACCCTTGGCACTGCCCCTGCTTTCTATCTGCTGCCAGCGGGGCCTTTGATGCCCACAGAGTTTACCCGCCCAGCCAAGTGCATTGTAGGACACAAAAGCTGCAGAAAGCAGCACAAATAAAATGAAAATGACCCAGGAACTGCCAGGGAGCTTATCAGCCTATTTCCTGGTTTCAGGTGTGGGGGATGGGAAGGCTTGGGACATAGTTCTGGGTTGTGTGATGTCCTGCATGTTGTCCAGGCCCCCTGGTATTGCGGACAAAGCATTAACCTCGAAGCTAGACAATGCCCTTCATCTCCTGAGCTTCGGCTTTCTTATATGTACAACTGATTTCATGAGTCCAAACTCCTAGAGTCCATGTGAGGATTAGATGAGTTGATATACTTAAAGTGCTTATTGTGTGTGTGTTTGTGTGTGTGTGTGTGTCTAATAGTGATAACAACAACAGCAGTAAGAACAGTAGCAGTTCATACTTATGGAGCATTTAGTGTGTGCCAAACACTGTTTCAATTGCTTTATGTATGTATTAACTCATTTAATCTTCATAATGACAGTATGAGGTAGGTAGTACTATTATTTCCATTTTGTAGATGAGAATACTAAAGCTCAGAGATGTTAAGCAATTTCTAAAAAGTCTCACAGTGCATTAGAAGCCAGTCCAGAATGCACACCTGGCACTGTGGTTATGGAGCAAGGCCTATAACCACCTTGCTCCCTGTTTCTTTCTCCTGCTCTTTTGAGTATTAAGCTTTCCTGTTTATGATGATGGTGACAACAACCGTGATAATGATAATGATGATGATGATGGTGATGGTGATGGAGGAAGACATGCCTTCATTTTGTATATCCATCTGCTTCTTGCTGAGCTTTCAATTCATTTTACAGATGATCCTCAGAGCAAGCCTGGGAGTGGCAATAATGTTGAACTCTGAGGAAACTGGGCCTTAAGAAGCAGCTGAACAAGACCACTGCTTTGCGAGCAAGGTCTTTGCAAGCTCCTGCTGGCCTCTCATTTGCTAGCACCCCATTGGCTGACGCAGGTGGCACAGCCTCTCTCAGTGTCAGAGTCGGAGGGTGCTGCAGAGTTACGCGGTGGAGGGCGAGGATGCAGGGAGGGGTGAAGAATCAGGACCCTGTTAGCAATTGATCACAGATGATGTCATCTCAAGTGTCCCTCCATCTTTTCTGTGCTTTGCCGTCCTTTCTTAAAAATAATTGCACCATTATGAAGAGGAAGGAGACTAGCAGGCACCTAGCAGCGACTGAATGCCTGGCAATTCACTTAAGGAGGTCAGTGGCATGACTCCCTGAGGCTTGTGGGACCAGGGGGCTGTCTCCAGGTTGCCCCGAGATGTGGCTCAGCCAGTATTGGAATGTCGCCTGCCTGTTTTCTGTGTGTGCATGTGTGTGTGTGCGTGCACGCTCACTCAGACCTGGGCCCAGGTCAGACCTATGGGAATCCTACAGCCAATTCTCCCACACAGTGTTGCGCGGAGGCTGGAAAGAAAATAAGCTTTAGGACAGAAAAACGGTGACCTCCTTTTACATGGGTTGGTAGAGCCAATGGTTTCCCACAAACTTCCCTCTGGGTGGCCACCCTACAGGCTAGAACATAGCAGAAGATTTCTCTTGAAACCCTGGGAGTCTTTACAAAAAGATCTTCTGAGATGTGTCATGGAGAAATGAGGCCCTTTAGCCATAAATTAGCCACAGCGTGCTGGCTGGGGCCTCGCCAGTTAAGAGAAATTTCCAGCCTTGAGGACTGAGATCAAGTTGGGGCTCTGATTTTGAAAGTGGACTCAAAGCAATTCATTCCTCCTTGTACGGTTGGAGCTATTTCCCCTACGCCTTTGCCTCTCTTCACCATGGCAGAGCCCCAAGCAGTACAAATGCCAAATTAAGTCTTTGACCCACATCTTGGAGGCCGTTCCCTTAGGAACACTGTTCTCTTCTCGCTTGCCTGGGGCCCCACTCCACACTTTTGCTTGCTTTCCCATGTCAAGAAGACACTTCTGAATCTGATTCCTGGATGGCCAGCGCCAAAGACTGGGCAGCCATCTGCTTTGCAGCCCCCCTCCTCAACCCTGCTGAGCGAAAATCTTAAAGGTGGTCTCACCTGCACCTCTTTTTGCCCTGACCTTTAGCCTGATAAAAGCAAAGTGCAGAGCCTTGAATGGGCAAGATAGAAACAAGTTGTTCTCTTTCTCCTTCTTTTCCTCCTCCTCTCTACAATTATTCTGTGACAAACATCAACCCAGGTGTTTATTTTTCCCAGTGAACTAACGGTTTATAGAGAAGATACCTTTGCCTCTGCAAGGATAGTATTCTTTTCCTCCTGCAAAACTCCTATTCATCCCCTGTACCTGGTAGAAGAACCCCCTTTCCCACAAGACTGTATTCCCGCCAGCAGGAGTTGCTGACTCTCCGTTTTGGACACCACATCTCCAGGGCTTTGTTCCTGTCCAGTCAAGGTTGCACTCCCTGTGTTGCCCTGGCTCATCTGTGTGTGTGTGTTCACTGAGCCGTTTGAGGGCAATGACTGTGGCTCCTTTGTTTACCGCTTTGTCCCCAGTGCCTGCTGCCGTGCCAAGCACAGCATGGAAGCAAAAACTTGTGTGTGCAAAATGGGTGAATGTAGGTGCAAATGGGGACACCCTTAGTTCCGCACAGGGCTTGGGCTCCAGATCGCTCCGCTCTGGCTTGGAGCTGAAACACCTGACTCTGTCACACAGACCGGGCCTGTGGCTCTGTACATGCAGTTTATCCCTCACACTTGGCAAATATGTGTCAAAGCAGAAAGAACCCAACCTTAGAGTTTGACAGACTCAGTTTTGAATCATCGCTCTGCCTTTTCCCGGCTGGTGACTCTAAGTTTTTTTACTGCTACCTGTGCCTCAGTCTAGTCTCTCCATCTTAAAATGAACACAGAAACATTTGCTTCCTCTGATTTGTTGAAAAGAATAGAGATGATGCTTGCAAAGCCCCAGTATGAGCAGTAGCTCTTATGGCAATTTTCTTTTTTCCAAAAAGGAACCGTTCTTATTGTTCCTGTGGGGGCAATAAAAATGTTTGTGGCAAGAGTCCAGCTATTTGGAGGTATCTCTTCTGTCTGTTTACTCTCTTGCAGGAAAAGCGCCTTCACCAGGATGCGTGGTAAACCTGCTGGCTACTCCACCTCTGCCTGATTCCCAGGAAATCAGCACAGTAGCCACCTGCTGCTTGCTGGCCTGCTGTTTAGGCCGCAGTCCTAGGCTGTGGGAACACACAGGGACAGTACAACAAACACATGACTCACTGAGGACTTCCATCCTCGAGCCAATGAGGTGCTGGCACCTTGTGATTTGTAAGGGTTCCCAATAGATATGCATGTATCTTCTCAGTCCCCCTTGAAGTTGAGCCTGTCTTTGCTCTTGTACTCTGTGGGGGGCTTGGGGGTGGGTTAATGTATGACCTTTAGGACTGTGTTTGCACCCTTCTTCCCTCCTGCATTTCTTGGTGGGCATCTTGCTGGGTGCTGGGGACATGGTGATGAGTAAGATGTGGTGCAGGGGACAGACAGGTCAACACATGTGGTCACCTGGATCACAGCCCCCCAGAGATGACCACATCCTAATTCCTGGAACCTTCGACTGTAGCCTCACATGGCAAAAGGACTTCGCAGGTGTGATTAAGTTAAGGATCTTGAGATGGGAGGAGGATGCTGGATTATCTAGGTGGACCCAGTGTGATCACAGGTGTCCTTAAAAGAGGGGAACAGAGGAAGATTTGAGTATCCAAGATGAGAAGGTAATGTGACTAGAGAAGCAGAGATTGGAATGATGCAGCCAGGAGCCAAGGAATGCTGGCAGCCTCTAGAAGTGGAAGACAAGGGCAGGTTTTCCTTTGGAGCCTCCAGAAGGAACCGTCCCTGCTAACACCTTGCTGTTAGATCCTTAAGACTTATTTTGGACTTCTGACCTCCAGAACTGTAAGAGAATGTTGTTTTCAGTGCCAAGTTTGTGATAATTTGTTACAGCAACAAGAGAAAACTAATACAGTGTGTCAGTGCAATATTGTAAGTGTTAACGCCATTCTTCCCTAGTGAGGAAGGAGCCCGAATGGCTCAGTGGTTCCCAGCTAGAGCCCCGGCGTCCCCATGCCTTGGTTCAAGTTCACAGTCACCTTTTACTAGTTAAGGGGCCTTTTGCCATTTTACTCCCCGAAGCCCCAGGTTCGTCTGTCATCTGTAAAATAAGGGTAACGGTCATTTCCATGTCACGGTGGTGGTGAGGACTGAGCAGTGAAATGCACATGAAGGTCCCAGTCTGGAGCGCAGTATGTGCCCAGCACCTTTGTCCTGCGCCCGGCAGGGAAGCACTGGATGCTGTAGAACCATTTGGCAGGGATGCGAAATGCAGGGCAATGTCTGCAGAGGTCTCCTGGGCTGAGGCTTTTGGATAGGAGGATTGACAGGACGC